CCACACAGGGACCCCCCACGTCCCACCCAGCCCACACAGGGACCCCTCAGCCAGCCAGGGCCTGGCAGGGACCCCTAACACCCACCCCTGGAACCCGCCACCCAGAACCAACCCCCCTCCCAGCCCCCATTAAACTCCCCCCATCCATGGCTCTGCAGGGTCCCCCAACCCCACAGAACCTGCACAGGGATCCCCCAATTCAGGGCTCTACAGAGACCCCACCCATAGGACACCCCCAAGGACACCCTATTCGCAGCTCTACAGGGACCCCCAACTCCAACCCCTATGGGGACCCCACCCCACCCAGGGCTTTGCAGATACCCCCACCTAGAACCATCCCCCATCCAGCCTGTCCCCAGAAGACCCTCCCCCACACCCCAACAGCCTCTCACTCTTCACCCAGCCCCACCAGTAAGTCCCAGTTCCAATCCATCCCTGCGGGGGGGTGTCAGCCCCCCCCCAGCAGAACCTGCAGCCCCCTCCCCCAGGTCCCCCCAACAGTTTCCCACATGGGGATGCCTCCTGCGGAGGGAAACATGGACCCCACTCCACCGGGGGGCAGTGGGGGGAGCCGTGCCGGGGGTGGGGGAAGCCATGCTGGGGGGGTGATGGAGGGTTACTCACCCGAGCACCCTTCTCACCATTGGTGCCAGGGAATCCGGGGAAGCCCTGAGATCCCTGTGGAGAAAGAAGAGATGGGGGTTAAGGGGGTGATGGGGGGCGGGGGGGCAGAGGGGATAGACCCACCGTCCACAGTGCTCACCTTCGGGCCTTGCCGTCCTGGGTATCCGGGAAGACCTGGTACGCCCAGCTTCCCCTGCGAGAGAGAGAGAGATGGGACTAGGGGGATGGGGCACGGGGCCTTTCCCCTTTAGTGGGCGCCGGCTCTGATCCAGCCCCAGGGTCGGGGGCTGGCTGTTCACGGGGGCAGGGAATGGGGCACGGGGCCTTTCCCCTCTAGTGGGTGCCGGCTCCCATCCGGCCCCAGGGTGGGGGGCTGGCTGTTCAGGGGGGCAGGGAACAGGCACATGGGCAGGGGCCCACACCCTCATGCTCGGAACTGCCCAGTCCTGCCCCATGCTGCCCCGGCTCCTCACCTTCTCTCCCACCAGTCCGAGGGGACCCGGGTCGCCCGAGGGTCCGGTCCGGCCTTTGGGACCTTCCGGTCCATCCTCTCCTCTGGATCCTGGGACACCCACCTCGCCCTGCAGGGGGCAGAGAGAACAGGGGTGGGTGAGACTGGCATCACCAGGAGCAGGCGGGCAGCGAGGGGCTCCGGGCACAAACTTACCCTGTCTCCTTTCACCCCGAAGTCGCCCTTGAACCCGGGAAATCCGTCCTCACCCTGCAGAGACAGACAGACAGACAGACCGGTGAAGACAGACAGACAGAGAGGAAAGGCCAGAAGGAACCAGCAGCTCAGCCGGTTCGACCTCCTGTATGTCACAGGCCCCCACCCCCACATACTAACCCAGCCCCCCCGCGCCCACCGCTCACTAACCCAGCCCCCGCCCCCCCCCCGC